AAATTCAAGATACCAAGAGAACATTTCATGCAAAGATGGGCACAATAAAGGACAGAAATGGAACACAGAAGAACTATACAAAAAAGATTTTCATGATCCAGATAACCACGATGGTGTGATCACTCACCTAGAGCCAGACATCCTGGAATGCGAAGTCAAGTGAGCTTATGAAGCATCACTATGAACAAAGCTAGTGGAGGTGATGGAATTCCAGTTGAGCTATTTCAAATCCTAAAAGATGATGCTGTGAAAATGCTGCACTCAATATGCCAGCAAACTTGGAAAACTCAGCAGTGGCCACAGGACTGGAAAACGTCAATTTTCATTACAATCCCCAAGAAAGGCAATCCCAAAGAACGCCCAAACTACTGCACAATTCTACTTGTCTCACATGCTAGCAAAGTAATACTCAAAATTCTCCAAGCCAGGCTTCAACACTACATGAATCGTGAACTTCCAGATATTCAAGGTGGATTTAGAAAAGCAGAGGAACCAGAGATCAAATTGCTAACATCCATTGGATCATTGAAAAAGCAAGTGAGTTCCAGAAAAATATCTATTTCTGCTTTATTGACTATGCCAAAGCCTTTGACTGTGTGGATCACAAAAAACTATGGAAAATTCTTCAAGAGATAAGAATACCAGACCACCTGACCTGCCTCCTGAGAATTCTGTAAGCAGATTAAGAAGCATGAATTAGAACCAGACATGGAACAACAGACTGGATCCGAATTGGGAAAGGAGTACTTCAAGGCTGTATATATTCTCCTGCTTATTTAACTTATATGCAGAGTATATCATGCAAAAAAGCCAGGCTGGATGAAGCACAAGCTGGAATCAAGATTGTTGGGAGAAATATCAATAACCTCAGATATGCAGATGACACCACCCTTATGGCGAAGAAGAAAAGGTGTTGAAAGCTAAGGAGAACTAAAGAGCCTCTTGATAAAAGTGAAAGAGGAGAGTGAAAAAGTTGGCTTAAAGCTCAACATTCAGAAAACTAAGATCATGGCATCTGGTCCCATCACTTCATGGCAAATAGATTGGGAAACAGTGGAAACAGTGTCAGACTTTATTTGTCTGGGCTCCAAAATCACTGCAGATGGTGACTGCAGCCATGAAATTAAAAGATGCTTGCTCCTTGGAAGAAAAGTTATGATCAACGTAGACAGCATATTAAAAAGCAGAGACATTACTTTGCCAACAAAGTCCCATTTAGTCAAAGTTATGGTTTTTCTGGTAGTAATGTATGGATCTGAGAGTTGGACTATAAAGAAAGCTGAGTGCTGAAAAACTGATGCTTTTGAACTGTGGTGTTGCAGAAGACTCTTGAGAGTCCCTTGGACTGCAAGGAGATCCACCCAGTCCATCCTAAAGGAAATAGTCCTGAATATTCATTGGAAGAACTGATGTTGAAGCTGAAACTCCACTACTTTGGCCACTTGATGCCAAGAACTGACTTACTGGAAAAGACCCTAATGCTGGGAAAGATTGAAGGCGGGAGGAGAAGGGGACAATAGAGGATGAGATGGTTAGAAGGCATCACCGACTCGATGGACATGAGTTTGAGTAAGCTCTGGAGTTGCTGGTGGACAGGGAAGCCTGGCAAGCTGCAGTCCACGGGGTCGCAAAGAGTCGGACATGACTGAGTGACTGAAATGACTGAAGTCCATTGCATCAGTGAGGTGATTCCTCTTTAGTAAAATTTCTATTTTACTAATGAGGAATTTGAGGTACAGAAATAAAGAATATGCTCAAAGCACATAGTTAATAAAACATTTAAGTCCAGGCACCTTGGCTCTAGAATCTGTGTTCTAAACTATGCTATACAAATAATAAGGTTATTCTGCTCACTATAAGTCACTGACATTGTTGTACTCAAGTGTTTGCACTCTCCAGAATACAGACAACCTTCGTAATCCTAGTTTTTGACACTGACTACATTTTTTGGTTGTAGATTATTTAAACCCACAATAATTTTAAAGCAATGCAATAGCTTTCAGATGAAAATCTGTATTGTATGTCAATACAATATAAACTGCTAAGATGTACACAAGTTATTTTAGGCCATGATAAATCAACATTAACTTCATATGTTCAAATTTTCAGAAATGATATTACAAGAAGTGAAAAGACCAAATGTCTGCAAAAAAAAAAATCATGGCAGACATTTTCAAAGATTGGTATTTATATTATACCTGTCAAGACATTCCACTCCATACTTAACTTTGTAGAAATATTTACGAGCAAAACAAAGAAATTATCTTGCCTTATGATATTTTAATATTTTAGTCCCACTTCACTAGTCACATGTTATGATTCTTATGATTCAGAGACATGGCTACACTCCTCTCAAACTATTACAGGTATATTTCCCATAATGCTCTCTGACATACCGCATCTAACATAAGCATTAGATACAAACTCATTTACTTTGTGAAAATTGCTATCATACATAACATTCTCTCCATGGGAAAAAAAGGAGATTACTCCAGCTAACTGTATAGTACATATTTAATATAACATTTATCACTTTATATTTCAAATTAAATACTACATTTTTGAAAACTGACACTCATGTTACATAAATAAATCATGTACTTACACTAATGTAACCTGCTTAATCCTATAAGAAAAATCATCTTAAATGCTAACATTTTGGTATGTTTTAAAGAGGTACTAGAATAAGAGATAATTCATTTTTTTTAATAGGAAGACATTCCAAACAGGGAAAATTAAAAATATATATATACATTAAAACATACTAAGAATAGAAGCAAATGACAAACTACTAAACTATATTTTGTCATATTTAATTGCAATAGACAAATAAAGGAAAAAATTAATATCATTTTTAAGACTTAGAAAAATGGTCATTCCACATGTAGCCTCATGTAGCTTTTAAGTGCTGCAAAGAACGGCAATCTTAGAAAGCCAAACAAAATGATCTTTCAAAACTCAATGAAACAATCAACAAAGTCACACAAGGGTTTATATTTCTTAACTAAATATTATAAATAGAGATTTAAGTAAAATAGAGGATCTAGTAATGGAGAAATTTCATAAATTTCACTTTATCTTTGAAGTCTTATTTCCAAAGAACCATACTCATGTGTGTCTTTTAACGGAAAAAGAAGATGCATGCAGCCCCATCAGCATTAATCCTTCAGCCAGCACTGTTTAGAAGAGAGGTGGTGTTCTCCAAGGCACTTCCAGAAAGACATATAAGCATCAGCTTGCATGACTACTGATTTGGAGGTTCTAAAGTGAACTGGCAACCCAGAATATCTGTACACCCAACACTTCATCAGGAAGAATAATAGTCTTGAGCTTACTACTCAGCAATACTTATCCAAAGATAGTGTTATTGTATATATATATATGAGGGGAGGAGGAATGTGTTTGGGGGCAGTTTCCATAAAATGTTAATAATATTTATTCATCTTATTAGTAATTGTTATAATAACAACACTGTATTAGAATACTGGTTAATAATTAACAAATGGTTAACTGATATTAGTGTTAATATCAATGCATAGATAAGTATTGATAAATAGTAAACTAAAGATTATTCTTCCTGACAGATACCCAGCATACAGCTATCCTAGATTACCAATATTATTTCTTTTATCTAATCTTCTACATTATTCTATAGAATATATACACTCTATCCAATTCTATAGTCAAAAGTTATCAATCTATCTTTGGATTAAACCAGATCAATAGAGAGTAAAATACCTAAACAACACTATTTGAGGTCCCAGATTATTGTTCTGGTTAATTGTACTTTGTTATTAAGTCACAAACTCTTATTTAAAACTACTCTATGTTTTAAAAACTGATATATGACTTAATAAACTCTCTCTTTTTAGATAGGATTCATCACACTACACAGTATCATTACTTGAAAACATATAATTTCTTAAGAGACTTAATCTTCTGGAATCTGTATTCACATAACTCATCGTCTGCCCTTCATTCCATTAGCTACAAAAAAACAGACCTGTGGTTTATCTTCGGCAAATAAAAAGTGCATGCATTTCACGGCATGCACTGGCATACTTTTAAGCTTTCTGCCAATGTCACCTTATATACTTTCTCTTCAGGATTTCCTTGATTAAGCATTTCTTGTTTTGTTATTATGCATTTACTTACATAAGATGCCATAAAAAATTGTGAAACAGGTAAAATAGAACAAGGCTTTGGAAAAACAATGAAAATATTTATTAACACTAAAGCATGTTTCTTTTTTTTATTCTAAAGTAGCAACCAATGATGGAGAAGGAAATGGCAACCCACTCCAGTATTCCTGCCTGGGAAACCCCATGGACAGTGGAGCCCAGGATGGCCAAAGAGTTGGACATAACTTAGCAACTAACAACAACCACCACCAACCAATGAAATCACATATGAAGATTAACCAACACATGAAATTAACACTTAATAGACATTATGAAAAATTGTAATGAAATTCTACAATTAAAACTCTACCCCAATAAAGAATAAATGAGTTTTTGCTACGCAAATGCAAACATGTAGCAGTTTCCTTCAAAGGAAAAATGGCTTGCTTAAAAACGTTCAACAATAATATCTTACATTTATAATTCACTTGACTGGATTATTTTCAAGTAAAATCTATTTTCACTTTTACATTTTAATGAAGTTCATTGTGTTAATATTAGAAATAACTTTTTTTAAGACTAAAATTGGTCAATTTTAAAGGATGCTAAAAAATGTGAGCTGTAATATATCGAAGAAATAATCTGAAAAAAAAAATCTGGGAAAATGAGATAGATTTACAGTATACATATATAAAGTATACTGGAAAAGTATTTTACTTTATTTGAAGGTATATGTAAAATACCAGATAAACAGTGAAGTTTTATATAATACAAACATTTACGTGGACATCTGTTTTCATAACTTCTGGGTAAATACCTAGGAATAGTAAAAGTATTATTATATATAAAAATGATGGGGAATCAAAGGTGCATACTTACCCTTCTCCTCCCATTCTTGTTATTTTTAGACGAAAATCCACAGAATTCAGACTGGGAGGCTTCCATTTCAAAATATCATCACATCGACCAGGTTTGTATTTCTAAAGTGAATGACAATGAGGATAATAGTTAATAAGCTAAAAATTATACATCTGATATACTAAATATAATAACAATTACATTTTATTAAGCAAAATCACATCTTCTTTTAATATAATCTTTGTTATCGTCAACTGATGAGTGAACTTAGATATCATCGCTCATGAGTTAGATGGGAAGATCCCCTGGAGAAGGGCATGGCAACCCACTCCAGTATTCTTGCCTGGAGAATTCCATTGATAGAGGAGCCTGGCAGGCTAAAGTCCATGGGGTCAGAAAGAGTCAAACATGACTAAAGCGACTTAGCATGCACACACGCTTTCATTAGATATCCACCATCTTACATATAGCCTTTCTCTCTTCCCTGCCAAAACACATAGATACTTGTTTGTGAAAGTTTTGAAAAATAATGACACATAGATACTTGTTTGTGAAAGTTTCAAAAAATAATGAAACCTATTATTCCCTCCAATTCACTAAAACTTAAAGGAAGCTTGATCATTTGAAAATAATTGTGCCTATTTAGTTCTTTGGCCCACTTTTTGATTGGGTTGTTCATTTTTCTGGTATTGAGCCTCATGAGCTGTTTGTATATCTTGGAGATTAATTCTTTGTCAGTTGTTTCATTTGCTATTATTTTCTCCCATTCTGAAGACTGCCTTTTTACCTTGCTTACAGTTTCCTTCATTGTGCAAAAGTTTTTACATTTAATTAGGTCCCATGTGTTTATTTTTGCTTTTAGTTCCATTACTCTGGCAGGTGGGTCACAGAGGATCTTGCTGTGATTTATGTCAGAGAGTGTTCTGCCTATGTTTTTCTCTAAGTGTTTTATAGTTTCTGGCCTTACATTCAGATCTTTAATCCATTTGAGTTTACTTCTGCATATGGTGTTAGAAAGTGTTCTAGTTTCATTCTTTTACAAGTGGTTGACTAGTTTTCCCAGCACCACTTGTTAAAGAGGTTGTCTTTTCTCCACTGTATATTTTTGCCTACTTTGTCAAAGATAAGGTGTCCATAGGTGCACGGATTTATCTCTGGGCTTTCTATTTTGTTCCACTGATTTATATTTCTGTCTCTGTGCCAGTACCATACTGCCTTGATGACTGTTGATTTGTAGTATAACCTGAAGTCAGGCAGGTTGATTCCTCCAGTTCCATTCTTCTTTCTTAAGATTGCTTTGGCTATTCAAGGTTTGTGGGGTTCCCATACAAATTGTGAAATTATTTGTTCTAGCTCTGTGAAAAATACCACTGGCAGCTTGACAGGGATTGCACTGAATCTATTGATGGCTTTGGGCTGTATACTCATTTTCACTATATTGATTCTTCTGATCCATGAACATGGTATATTTCACCATCTATTTGTGTCATCTTTGATTTCTTTTGTCAGTGTTTTACAGTTTTTCTATATATAGGTCTTTTATTTCTTTAAGTAGATTTACTCCTAAGTATTTTATTCTTTTCATTGCAATGATGAATGGGATTGCTTCCTCTGTTTTTTCAGTTAGTGTATAGGAACGCAAGGGGTTTTTGTGTATTAGTTTTATATCCTGCAACTTCACTACATTCATTGATTAGCTCTAGTAATTTTCTGATGGTATCCTTAGGGTTTTCTATGTAGTAATCTGCAAACAGTGAGAGTTTTACTTCTTCTTTTCCAATCTGGATTCCTTTTATTTCTTTTTCTTCTCTGATTGCTGTGCCTAGGACTTCTAAAAACATGTTGAATAACAGTGGTCAGAGTGGGCACCCTTGTCTTGTCCCTGGTTTTAGAGGAAATGGTTTCTATTTTTCACCATTGAGGATAATGTTTGCTACCAGTTTGTCTACGTGGCTTTTATTGTGTTGAGGTATGTTCCTTCTATGTTATCTGGAGAGGTTTTTTTTTTTTTTTAATCATAAATGGGTATTGAATTTTGTCAAAGGCTTTCTGTGCATCAACTGAGACAATCATATGGCTTTTATCTTTCAATTTGTTAATATGGTGTATGACAATGATTGATTTGCAAATATTAAAGAATCCTTGCATCCCTGGAATAAAGCCCACTTGGTCATGATGTATAATCTTTTTAATATGTTGTTGGATTCTGTTTGCTAGAATTTTGTTGAGGATTTTGTTGAGCATCTATGTTCATCAGTGATACTGGCCTATAGTTTTCTTTTTTTGTGGCATCTTTGTCTGATCTTGGTATTAGGGTGATGGTGGCCTCATAGAATGAATTTTGGAGTTTACCTTCCTTTGCAATTTTCTGGAAGAGTTTGAGTAAGACAGGTGTTAGCTCTTCTCTAAATTTTTGGTAAAATTCACCTATGAAGCCATCTGGTCCTGGGCTTTTGTTTGTTGGAAGATTTTTTATTACAGCTTCAATTTCCATGCTTGTGATGGGTCTGTTAAGATTTCCTGTTTCTTCCTGGTTCAGTTTCGGAAGGTTATACTTTTCTAAGACATCTCTCCAAAGAAGACACATAGATGGCTAATAAACACATGAAAAGATGGTCAACATCACTCATTATTAGAGAAATGAAAATCAAAACCACAATAAGGTATCATCTCACGCTGCTCAGAATGGCCGCCATCAAAAAGTCTACAAACAGTAAATGCTGGAGAGGGTGTGGAGGAAAGGGAACCCTCCTACACTGCTGGTGGGAATGCAAACTGGTACAGCCGCTATGGAGAACAGTGTGGAGACTCCTTAAAAAACTGGAAACAGAACCGCCACATGACCCAGCAACCCCACTGCTGGGCACACACACCAAGGAAGCCAGAGCTGAAAGAGACATGTGCACCCCAGTGTTTACCACTGCGCTGCTCACAACAGCCAGGACATGGAAGCGACCCAGATGTCCACCGGCAGATAGATGGATGAGGAAGCTGTGGTGCATATACACCATGGGGTATTACTCAGCCATTAAAAAGAATGCATTTGAGTCAGTCCTAATGAGGTGGATGAAACTGGAGCCCATTATACAGAGTGAAGTCGGTCAGAAAGAAAAACACTAATACAGTATACTAACGCATATAAACAGAATTTAGAAAGATGGTAATGATAACCCTATATGCATGACAGTGAAAGAGACACAGATATAAAGAACAGACTTTTGGACTCTGGGAGAAGGCGAGGGTGGGATGATTTGAGGGAATAGCATTGAAACATGTATATTATCATATGTGAAACAGATCACCGGTCCAGGCTCAATGCACGAGACAAGTGCTCGGGGCTGGTGCACTGGGATGATCCTGAGGGACGCGATGGGGAAGGAGGTGGGAGGAAGGGTCAGGATGGCGAACACGTGTACACCCGTGGCTGATTCATGTCAATGTATGGCAAAAACCACTACAATATTATAAAGTAATTAGCCTCCAATTAAAAAAAAAAAAGAAATACCCACAGTAGGCAAATTCATAGGGACAGGAAGTAGATCTGAGGCACCAGGAGTAGTGGATGGAGGCAGTAGGGGAGGAGGGATGGATGGACTGGGCAGAAGGAGAGTTACTGCTTAACAATTATAAAACTTCTGTTTGCAGTGATGTAAAAAAGTTGTGGAAATGGTTGAACAATACTACCTATGTAATTAAAGAGACTACAGAATAGGGGAAAAAATGTTTTAAATGTATTCTAGGAACACAGTAAAAATAAAAAATATTTTACTTGGGTAGTTATGTACTTAAAGAGGAATGAACACTGTGAGCTTCAAATAATGAGTAATATTCACTAACACAGACTTACAGCAGAAAGTAAATATGAGCAAAACACTTGGGTAGAAAAATATAGACTCCCCTGAAGGAGAGGAAAGTATGTCAATTCAGTGAGGCCATATTATGAGAAAAATAGGAAGGAAAAACTGCTAAGTGTTATCACTACTAATTTTTAGAAATACAAGTCAACTGCATTCTAACAGATTTTTAGAAATTTAAAACATGCAAAAACCCTAGTCACAGGATCACTTATTTGAAAAGAAGTCCATATAATGACAAATTTAGTGTATCAAGTTTTGCTAAAGAAAGAAAATCACTGGAGTTGATAGAAAAATATTTGATCACTTATTTGAAAAGCAGTCCATATAATGACAAATTTAGTGTATCAAGTTTTGCTAAAGAAAGACAATCACTGGAGTTGATAGAAAAATATTTTCTCTGTAGTAACATAATACACGCTATTTTCCTAAGTCTTGTATTTAAACCTGAACAAATATAAAATCAAATATATAACATTTCAGTGGAAGTTTTCATTCATTTATTTGCCCTGAGGCTCATTCAAGTAACACATATCCTTCAGGATGATCACAGATAAATCTCTCTATACTTACTGAATATAAATATTTTTATAAATGTTAAAATTGCTAAATTTTCCAGTTATGATCCCATGAATAAAAATAATTTTAAAAATTTAGCCTGTTTTCTAACAAAGTCTATCTGACAGAAACATTAGAGACCTTTTAGTAGTAAGAGTAGTCCCCTATAGTGGTGAAGGGTAAAAAAGGACTGAGACGCAGAAAGGAGTGTCAGCATCCCACACCAACCCCACTTACAACCTCTGCCAAGGGAATGTCATACTTACAAACCAACCATCATTTACTTCTGTTCCTTATTTATTCATATGACTAGTATGAGAACACTTAGAAACCAATACCAATCTAAGTTCTTAAATCTAGGAAATATTAAAGCTAGGACTGTACAGCTTTAAAATATTTCTTGCTTGCTAAATCACTTCAGTCACGTTCAACTCTTTGCAACCCTATGGACTGTAGCCTGCCAGGCTCCTTTTGTCCATGGGATTCTCCAGGCAAGAACACTGGAGTGGGTTGCCATTTCCTTCTCCAGGAGATCTTCCTGACCCAGGAATCAAACCTGTGTCTTATTATGTCTCCTGCACTGGCAGGCAGATCCCTTACCATTAGCACCACCTGGAAACTCCAAAAATATTTTATAATGGGTAACTAATGACTAATTCTAAAAATAATTTTAACATAATGCTAAGTATAAAATAGATACTAAGGATCCT